GCCCTGGTGTCCATGTCACGGTTCCCAGAATGACCTCCTAAACGCCAGGTTTGGTTTTGTGCCTCTCTAGCTCGGGGTCCGTTACAGGCTCCCCTGTCACCCTCCACGTACGAGCCTCTTCCCTAGCCTGGTAGGAATTCCTTTTGCCCCAAGTGGCCCTTCTAGCTGTAATTTCCCTGTCCTGACCTCCAGTCTGGAGCCTCAGGAAGGCTGGCCTGTCTGGAGCAGGTCTTGCTGATTCAGACCTCTGGGGCTTTCTTGCCTCAGCCCCAGAGCCCCTTCCTCTCCTCCTCCCTCCCCACACATCTGTCTTTTCAGAGTGGTAGTCACAATTAATCCTGCCTTTCTCTTCCACGCTGCTCTCTGTGAGCCGTCCAGGAGCTGAGCACCTTCTGCCCTGAATTGAGTTCCTGTGCATGGCATGGTCCTGGCCTGCCCACTCCACAGTGGAGGAAGAGAGGATGGAGTCACTGGAAATCTCCAGGGTCCTGAGAGGGGGCATATGAGGGTGGCCCACTGGGGAGGGCCCAGCCCAGTCTGTAGGGGGTGGAGGTGGGGATGGTGGTGCACCCTAGGAACTCTAAGTAGGAGTGTGCTGCCTGTAGTCACCCAGGGACAGCAGCTCCTCAGGCCAGAGTCCCAGGGCAAACTGCTTGGGTGAGATTCCTGTTCTCTGTTGCTGAGCAACTGAGCAACTGAGCAACTCTGGGCAAGGTACTCTCTCTCCATGGCTTGGTCTCCTTGTCTGAAAGGTGCGGATAATAGTAGGAGCTGCCTCACAAGGTCATTGTCAGAAATAAATGAACTGATCGCGGGTAAGTGTGATGCCCTCCCTGAGGGATGTGGGCACGTCACTATGTGGGTGGAAGGGCGGGTGAGTGAAGCCAGTCGGGTGTGCGGGGAAGCTGTCCCACAGTATCCTTCATGTGGGAAACTGCTACTTTCTAGGGAAGGTGGTGCTGACTAGCTTTGGATTTCGTTTAGCTTGGTGGAGAAAGGGGTTGCAACTCGGTGCCAGGGCTGAATCTGTGGGCTGAGAGGAGAAAGTAGGCCACCATCTCCAGGACAACCCTCCATCTCCGAACCTCCCCGCACCCCAATCCTCAGTCTCCCCAGAGGAGTCACCTGGGTAGCTTCCCCCAAAGCCTCCTCCAATTTTGGGGAACAGAATAGAATTGACATGATGATAACCTTAGGCCCAAGGAAATTGCAATATTCACTGATTATTCAGTGGCCTCTGTAGCCAAGACTTTGGACCTTAGGGGTTCTTCTCTGATGCCAAATGGGTCCCACGGGGTAGTGCCATAAGCAGCCTGGAATGAGGGAAGAGCCTGGGTGGCCAGGCCTCACCCAGGAGGGAGGAGAGGAGGCCACAGCACCCTGAGAGGAGGCCGCAGCACACTCAGACAGGTATGTACCCCCCAACCTTCTTCATTAGAGGGCCCCCCTGCCACCTGCTGCCGTCAGAGATCTGCCATGGATGTATCACCCTCTTTGTTAAGAGTTTCTTTAGAACTCCAGATGCTTCTGGGTAGAGTAATGACACTTGACAATTTAATTATATTTTCAATGTGAATATAAATGTTCCCTCTCTGGGACAAAAAATTATTTGCAATAAAAGTCAGGTGTAAGGTAAAGCTGTTAAAACATTATTAGCATATAATCCTAGTGAAAGGATGGGACTGAGTATATTACCATGGAAGTGGATATAATTTCTGTGATTGATATTAAATTGAATTCTGAGAAACCCAGCATCAGGCCCCCTGTCCAAATCGGAGCAGGGAGTGGCCATCTGTGAACCCTTATTACCTTAGTGTGGAAAGTGTTTATTAGATGTGTTTTAGTGTGTTGGGGGGAACTGGCAGTCGAGATCGTTCTTGCCACAAGTGATGAGTAAGCACTTAAACAGAAGGGGATCTTTCCTGAAAGGCAGAGGGTGCTGAACTGTATAAAGGAACTGGTTATGGGGGGCTGGCCTGACAAAGCTCCTGAGGCTGGGAATTGAGTGAGTCTGAATTTGAGCCCTGGCTCTGATCTTTATGACACCGTGACTAATCCACCCCAGCTTCCTAATCCTTTAACCCTGGGGAGTCAATAATGGCTGAAAAATTGGAAAACTAACCTTACGTATGAGGAGTGTGAGCACAGTGCCCGGCTCACACGTGGCACCCATTTAAATAGATGAGCATCGGCATTTGTGATGCCATTTGTCACACGTTTTGCTTTTGGGGCTGGGGTGTTTGAGACCAGGTCATAGCCTCTGTAAAGGATACCCCTTTCCTTGTGGTGTCTCTGCTCTCAGCCAGAAAATTTAGCCCTGGCCCCAACTTGCATCTGGGAAAACTGAGACACACTTGGCTGCTTACTAGAGGAAAAAAAAGAAAGGGCAGGTTAGAGCACCTCCAGGGCAGGATAGAGCCGGAGATGGTACCTTAACAGGAGTCCAAGTGGGGCGATGGCCATTGGAAAGGCATTCCCTGTAACTCTGACCCTAGGAGGGACAGTGGAAAGGATCCCAACCAGCCAACACTGAGTGCCCGAAGCCACTGCCCCTTGGCCCTGATAAATCCTGATAAGGCTCACACGCCCCACAGTTTGACTAAACTTCAATCAGTTTTCTCCCTAGCCTCCTTTTACCTGGAGCATTCTTTTTCTTTTTTTTTTTTGAAAACTTAACACTTGTAAATTCTTTCTCTGTCCCTTTGAGATGTAAATCTCTCAGCCTCTTTCTAGTTTTACAACCCAGGAATGTTTTTTCTCAAGAACCAGAAGCCACTCCTTTGAAATAGCAGTATCATCACTGACACCCCTCTCTCTCAGTCTGGGGGGGCCCTCACTTCGGTAAGCACCAAATTAGCAAACACGGGGACAGCAGGACTGTGTTCATCGCCTCCCCCTAACTTGGTTCTCTCCACCAGCTCACCCAGTGTTGATCAGTAATAACCCTGATTATTTGTTTGTTTCAGGAGAGTCAAGCTCTGCCTGGTGGCAGCAGTTCTGAGTGACGTCTGCGGTGGTCTCTCTCCAATAGTACCCACTTGGATAGCTTGTTTCTTCTTCCCCTTCCTCCTCTCCAGCCACTCCAGCACACGGGTGAGGTCCGACATCCGTCTCTCCTCCACCGTTCTCCACGTGGACTTCCTCTCTGTGGGCATTAAATTCTGTATATCCACCAGTTGCTCTGACATCGTGGAGTCTTGGGTGTGTATGGGAGAGAGGCTGGCACGCTCTCTTTCTAGATCCCTCTGTCTCAGCTTGCTGGCCTCAGTGACTCAGAAGGTGGGGACTGGCTTCTCAATGTGAACATAAAAGGCAGAGTTAGGCAAGAAGCTGAGGTATTAGCCTTAAAGGCTGGAAGGTCTGGGCAGTGATTATGAGGTCACCATCAGGCTTGATAGCTGGACTCTGGCCAGGTTCAGGGAGAGGTGAGACCTTGGCTACCTCCCATCATTCCCCATGTGGCCAGTGCCCCTTATCTCACCTGGACTGTGCCATGGCCTCCTGCCATCTCTTCACAGTCACCTCCACAGAGTTCTTACTGAGACAAAGACCAGCTCACACGTCTCATGTTCTCGAAACCTTCAATGGCTTCTTGTTGCCTGTAAACACCTCCCCCCAACTCCTTAGTTGGCATCCTGGCTTTCTACAGTATACCCTAATAAGAATGAAGCTTTTTATAAGCTCAATTATTCTATATTGATTTATTAATTCACTGGATACTTATCAGATACTGACTGTATGCCAGAAGTAGTACATTAATCAGGGGGAAAGACAAGCCCCTTGAATCCATGGGGATGTTCTTCAGGAAGGAGTGCGATTGTATGAAAGCTCATCACAATGGAATTGGACTCGGCTGGGATGGTGGGTGGGTCACACTTAATCTCTGAACTAAAGAGTAAGGAGACTCCATCAGGTCTGCTATGATTTGAACATCTGGGTCCCTCCAAAATTCATATGCTGAAATCCTGACCTCCCAGGGTGGAGACATTAGGAGGCGGGGCCCTTGGAATTGATACATGAGCTCTCGTGATCGGGAGCAACGCCTTATAAAAGATGCTGTGGTCAGCGAACTAGCCCCATCTACCACATAAGGATGCAAAGAGAAGCTATAATTTATGAAGAAAGAAATCGACCCTCACAAGACCCTGAATCTGACAGGCTTGGTTTTGAGCTCCCTAGACTCCAAAACTGTGAGAAATAAATTGCTGTTATTTAAAAGCTACACAGGTTATGGTATTTGGTCATAGGAATCCAAGTAGACTAAGATGGGGGCTGTGGACTGGAGAGACAAGCATGTGCAAAACCCCTGTGGCAGGATAGTGGCATGACTTGGAAGACAGGTGGCAAGTGTATCTAGAGGCCAGGTGGCGAGAAAATATACTAGGGAAGTGGGCAGGGGCCAGGCCATGCAGGAACTTGGGGGCCACAGGTTCCGTTAGACTAGGATGGGCAGAGAAGGAAAGGGGAAACAATAAAGGGTTTCATAACAAGGGGAGGGAGTAACATGATAAGGCTTAGTAAACTTTAATTGAAGAAAGTTTCATATACAATCATGTGCCAGCGTCACAAATGAAGACAACCGTATAACGGGGGCCCTAGAATTCCCCTTATGGCCCCTGCTAGCTCATACCTCCTTAAGGTGAATATCTTAAGATATAATTTCTTAGATATGCTCTGCCTGTTTTTAGTTTTATGTAAATGAAATACATGTGGTCTTCTGTATCTGGATTTATTCATTTTACAATACGTGGGGAGTGCAAAAAAATGTGCACTCGTTTTTAGAGATGTTATCTATGTATTACTCTTAAAGTTGAATTGAATCATGCTAACAACGGGTAGCATGATGTTTGCTCAAAAGGTAGCACTAATTGAACGAATGCTAGCATCACCACACAACAGGCAGGGCAGTCAAGGAAAACGGTAGCAGCGCAGTTGCTGTTTGAGGAGCCTGAGACCATTCTGAAGTGGTATTTGAAATTCAAGAATGTTGGCAGTTCAATGACAATGGAGGTGTGATATGAGCAGAGCCTCCAACAAGCCGAACAACTGCATGCATTTGGGATAAGTGTGCGACTTGTAGTGTTGTGTGTGATGTGCACCAAGAAAGGTCTGCCAGGCTTTGCCCGACAACAAGCCCTGTTACTTCCCCTGTGCTGTTGGAGCAGCTTACACGCTCACCACAGAGTCTACCTAACAGTGTGAGCGTGAGACAGGAACTAGCAGAACAGGCATACGATGCATTCTTAATGAAATGGAAAGTTTTCATCCCAAGATTATTACATGCACCGAAACAGGAGAGCTGACCTTGATGAGAATGTGCCAGGACAATGGACAGGATGAAGAGGTGTAGTTGGGTTTTCCCCATGTTCTCTGACTTACCATCCCTTAACTTCTACATAGGGGGGACCTCAAAGGATGTGATGTGCCATAGAAAATGGGCTATGCTGGGGATATTTTGGGAAGAAACTGAAATGGTGTGCACTGTGATATAGATGGACACTTTGGTCAGCATTGCTCAAGTAGTAGTTCACTGTAATCAGAAGTGTCTGGACACTGATGGTGACCTCTTTGAGCACCTCTTGTAATTACAGAAATAAAATGTTATTTGTATTCATCTTTTGCTATCAGTATATATTAAGTATTACAATGCTAATGTACATTTTTCCTTCTTTAAAATGTGTACACATTTTTTAACACCTTCTGTATTTGCAAGATTTTAGCAATGAATTCTTCTGTTTTTATTTATGTGGAAATGTCTTTATTTATCTTCATTTTGAAGGGAGATTTGCTGGATAATAGAACTCTTAGCAGTTTTCTAGCACTTTCTGTATGTTGTTCCACTGCTTTCTGTCCTCTATTGTTTTCTGTGGGAAGTCAGCTGTCACTCACATTATTGCTGTTTTTTTCTCACTTATGAGTCATTTTTTTCCTCCCTTATGACTATTTGTTTATGATGAGTCTAGGTGTGGATCTCTTTGTATTTATCCTATGTGAAGCTAGTTGAACTTCTTGAATATGTATATAATGATTTTTGTTCCAAGGTTTTTAAAAATCAGATTCTGGAATTTGGGGGCCAGTATTTTTTCCAATTTTTTCCTACTCCATTTCTCCTATTTCCTACTTTTGGGACTTACATTATTTATGTTTTGGTTTGATGTTATCCCACTGGTCTCTAAGGTCAATCATTTTTTTCCCTCTATTATTCAGACTAGATACTTTCCATTATTCTACCTATAAGTTCATCGATTCTTTCATCTACCATCTGCTGTTGATTCTTTCCAGTACATTTTTTATTGCAATTATAGTTTTCAACTCTAAAGTTTTTTTTTTGGCTGGAGCTGGGTTTGAACCTGCCATCTCCAGTATATGGGGCTGGTGCCCTACCCCTTTGAGCCACAGGCACCATCCCTAAAGTTTCTATTTTTAAAAAATGTTTTTGTCTCCTTATTTAGAATCTCTATGTTGATTTATTATTAATTTTCTTTGAACATAGTTCTTTGAACATGTCTATAATAATCATTTGAAATTTTTGTTCACTAACTGCAAAATCTGGGGACATTCAGAGACAGTTTATATTGTCTGCTATTTTCTTGAGTATGTGTCACACTTTCTTATTTCTTTGGCTACCTTATAATTTTTTTGTTGAAAATGGAACATTACAAAATGTTGCAATGGATATGTTAATTGATATGTAGTGGATATGTTTACTATGTTGATTTAGCCATTCCACAATATGTGTATTGATATGTATATATATATGTACACATATACGAAAACATTATCTTTTACACCACACACATATACAACTTCATTTGTCAATTTAAAAATATTGCAGCCACTTTACTGTTCTGATCCTCCCTCTCCATGATTTATTGTTGCTGTTTAATAACTTACTTATTAAACTTTCTTTGTTTAATAACTTATTGGCTCTGTGAATTACACAATGCCTGTTTATAAATTTGTGAACCCTGTCTTCTCCATCATGTGAAGCTGTTGAATTTTCTGATTAAGGTTTTTGTATTATTTTCCCAAATGTTTAAGCCTACCTTCCTAAGCATTGTCTGTGTGTCTGCAAATGCTCTGCCCTGGCAGAGCCTCCTTGCTGGCTTAGCTGGGAGGAGGGCAGGGAGCAGCCTCAGGCTGCAGATTCCCTCTGTTGCACCCCACGTTTCTGCTTCTGCAGTTCTCAAGCATAAATGCTGCTCCAATTGTTGCATGTCTTTGGGTGATTTCCAAGATGCTTCATGGTTGGTCAATTTTGTCAAGTGTTATAGTTACTTTTTGGCAAAGGATTATTTGATCTGTTCACTCAGCCGCAGGTAGAGTCCCTTGCCAATGCTTTCTTTAGGTAACGTTTTGTAATACTCCTTTTGCTATTTTGAAATGAAATTCATACAAAACTTATCCTATTTGCATACACATATTTAAAAATTACTATAATCCTCTAAGATAATCTAAATAAGAAATTTAAGAAATATGTGGTCTCCCTTTGGGTATATTTCTGTATTTTAGTGCATGGTCACAACTAAAATAAAGGTGAACCCCTAGATTTCCCCAGTGCCCCTCAGGGAATGGTGGGACCCCACTGAAAATCAGCAACATAGTCAAAACTGTCTGGACTCTATTCCTGCAGGGGGAGTGGGGACAAATTCTATTTAGAAAGTGTTTCGTGACTCAAACTTGATCTCCCCTGGTCTATTTTTCTTCTGAACATTCATGCAAGCAAATCAACTTTGAAACAGAAATGCACTGTTTTTTTCCCCCCAAAGGATATTAACTTTGAGGTGAAAGCTTTATTAAATCTTTCTAACCAGAACAGCTCTGAAACATACACGGTGAAGGAGACGCAGAAACCCAGGTGAATGTCCCAGGGCGAAGGAGACGCAGAAACCCAGGTGAATGTCCCAGGGCGAAGGAGAAGCAGAGGGTGTCCAGGGTGGACTGGACCAGGAGCAGAAAAGTGTCTTTGGAGGGCTTCAGGGCCCCTGGGATGAAAGTGTACTTAGAAGGCACCAACATCGAACCTTGACTTCAGCTATGTGAGATTAAATAATTAAAAGTTAAAGCTGCTGGACTTGAAATTATAATGAGCCTTGAGTACTTTGTGGCCATATTGCATGAGTCTTGTGGCAGGCAGCTGCAACGTTTGCCTTTTTTCCTCTGCACATAATTAAGATGATCAAATGGG